GCCTGTTCGCGGGAGAGGAGCGGGCGCCAGGCTGCCCTTCCTCGGCCGGCTCCCCGCGTTGGGCCGTTCGTGTGCGCGTCTGGGCGACGACGCCTGGCGACCGAGGTGTGCGGAACTGGACGCGCGGCTGTACCGGGGGTCGGGCGGAACCGAAGGTCCGGCACGCGTCCCACGCGGCGGCCTCCGTTAGGGACGTGCTCACACACCTGCCCGGATGTGCCCTCGGCCGGAAGGAGCTCAGCCGGCCTCCGCGTGGGACGACTCCGCGGCTTTTATTGTTTTTTTTTAACTCGGGGCTTCTTGGTGATGGGAATTCAAAAAGGGGCACACACTCCGTGAGGTAGCCGGGTGCTGGGCTTTCTTAGCAAGATTTTGCAGGGAGGCTCGTGCCAAACTAAACAAGATTTTGCAAGAAATTGTCATCTTCTCTGTCCTGCCCTTAGTGTTTCTTAAGACACTAAGTCAAGGCACCTCCCCGCCTGCTTTGGCCATTGGACTCATTTCATTTAGTTAATTTAAAAAAAAAAAAAAAAGTTAATGTGTTTTGAAGGAGCTCTGGTGGCATAGTGCTTAAGGCATCTGACTGCTAACCAGAAGGTTGGTGGTTCAAACCCAACAGCCACTCGGTGGAAGGCAGACAGCGGAAGGAAGACTGGGCAATCTACTTCCGTAGCAATACCTCCCAGGAAACCCAAAGGGGATCGCTGACTGCAAGTTGGAATTGACTGGATGGCAGCGAGTTTGGTTTCGGTTTTATTGGGTTGGAGGTGGAAGTTCACATAGCCGATGGCGTTTCCATTTAACCACTTCTACACAATTTGTTCCCTGACACTGGTTACCTTTTACAGGATGTGTTAGGGTCTCATTATTTCTGTCTGTTGGTTCTGCTTCCGTGCATCTAGCTTCCCTGCCTCTCCTTAGCTTCTTGCCTTTGCTTGAGCGTGAATGCTTGCTGCCTGGTCTTCCACAGTTGATTCAGTTCAAGGAACAGGTGTTGGTGGTGATACTGTGTCTAAGTGAGGCAACTATTTGGGTAAGAGGTGACCACCAGCAGCGGCTACTCGGTTCTCTTGACATAAACTAAGCAGGCCGCTAAAGTGGAGCCCAGGGCCCCTGGGAGGCCCCGGCGGTTTCCACTGGGCTCTGTGCCCCTTCTTCAGAGCGCGTGCTGCCCTGCGGCCCGTTACTGGTCCTGGTGAAGGCTGTGACTTCAGAAGCCTCTGAAGCAGCTTGTCTCCATGGAGTCTGGCTCAGCTAGCAAAGGAGACGGCTGTTGAAGCCTGGCCCCAGAGAGCCAAACCCCAGCCTCTCGCGGTTCAGGGGCCGTGAAGCAGTTCAGCTCGCCTGTTGCAGAGTAGAACTGCCCCATAGCGTTTTCCTGGCTGTGGTCTTACAGAAGCAGATCACCAGGCCTGCCTTCCACGGGGCCACTGGGTGGGTTGAACTCCTGATTTGGATGTTAGTGGGGGAGCACCAACCGTTTGTGCCTCGGGCCTGCACAGGGGGTGCAGGATTCCTCTCTACCCAGTAGTTCAACTCACCAGAGCGTCCCCGCTGCCGCATGAAACCATGCAAGCAGGGCTCACCAGCCTCATGTAAGAGAATCTGAGAACTGCTGTTGCCCTCAGCCTCTGGCTGAAGGTCTGTACTGAGCATCACACTGTTCTCGGCTGTGTCACGATCCCCTTGGCGTGATGCAAAACTGACTGTGTTCTTTTCCTAAGAAACAAGCAGCTCTCTGTTAGCACGGCCCAGAGCTAGGTCATGGAATAATAACGTTTGTGTAGCAGACACAGTGCCGTGATCACATATAACAGCCTTCCTTGTTTACTGAGGAAGGGATTCATGTTCTGGGCCAGGGCCAAAGGCTCGGAATCTTGTTACTCTGAGTGGTCTGTTGAAGATTTTGGAAGAAAACGCACAACTTTATGAGGTTATCAGTAAGGGAATGTCGTCAGGGCCCAGCAGTAAGTAGCACAGCCACCCCGCACACACTTCATTTCCTCCCCCAGCTGGGGGCCTTGCACATCTCCCTGGAGATGGCGCTGCAACGGACCGGAGTGGTTACGCACAATTCCCTCTTTAGAAGCCCGTGCACAGGTCTGAGGATGCCGGCGGCTGTCTCGCTCAGCCTGCTCACTTGCTGCTCTTACTGTACGAGGATGGCTCTGACCTTGGGCCTTCACGTGTGCTGTTGTGTCTCCAAAAACTCTCCTGTTGTTGGTTGTCAGTTCCGACTCCCGGAGACCCCGTGTGCGCGGAGTAGGACTGCTCCTTTGGGTTTTGAGGGCTGTGGCCTTGGGGAAGCAGATGGTCAGGCTGTCTCCCGAGGTGTCTCCGGGTGGCTTCGAAGCGTTGGCGCCACACCTGCATCTGAACATTTCGCACGTGGGCTCTGAAACGTTTCTGATCAGAGAGCGAGGCTTGCGGAGGAGGGCTTTGTTACAGACGCTGGCCGTTTGTCAGCTCCTGTGTCTGAGGGCCCGTGAACGTGAATGTGCACCGTGCTGGCCCTCCAGGGAAGGCCAACACCTTCTCAGCCTCGGGGGGCTTTCAGTCAAGGCGCTTCTAACCCTGGCCTCTGGATTTGGAGGCTTCTAAGTGCTGATGAGGAGCTCACGTGGCGAGTGCCTGAGAAATCTGACTGCCAGCCAGAGGCTGGCCGTTCAAACCCACCATCCACTCCTCGGAAGGAAGGTTGGGTGATCTACTTGCATAGAGATACCACCCCAGAAACCCAAGGACTTGGGGGTCGCTGTGAGTCGGATCCAACTCAGCGGCAGTGAGTTTGGTTTGGTTTGGTTTGAAGTGCTTGTGGTGTAGTGCCTAAGGCATCTGACTGCTCACCAGAAGGCTAGCGGTTCAA